AGTTTCTTTATCTGTTTTGTCTTAAGTACCTTTTATCTGATGAAGTATTTGGCCCCACCGACTTTAACTGTATTTTTGTTATAAAAATATGCTTATTGAAAAAAAAATTCACAGGGAGTAATATATAAGTATATAAAGCATGAAGCGAACGTTCCTCATGCATTCTTCTCCTTTTCTCCATGTCACACTGTACTATATCCCATAACAGTACCATAAATTTCTGGTGTATCCTTCTGGAATTTTTCAATATATAGATAAGTGTACTTAAAATAGGATAATATTAACATTGTGCTTTTTTTCACTTAAATCTTTTTATTGGATTTTTAGTTTTGCAAAGTATTCCTTAATGACTTTTTTTTTATGACTGCAGTTCCTTTAATCAGGTTTTCCAAGGTGGGTGTCCCAGTAAATTGCTTCTTAGATGAAGGTGTGTTTCAAACCCAGTCGGCTCTCTGTGTTACCATCTAAGGCCAAGTGCAAATATGATCCTTCCATATTTTCCCCCAGACAAAAGATGTCTATAAATATAGACTCAGAACAAAAGTGTTGTCCGTATGTAAGATTATGCCAAAGGCATGAGCTTAAAATAAACCACTAAGATAGGCAATATCTCTAGGTAGATCTTAAACCTTTATAATTCACATCTGGGATAAGCTACATGCTGTGAAGGTGACTGTTAAATGTCCCCTTTTCAGAGCAGTACCACAGAGCAGTCCTATATTGATTTCATCAGTGAAGAATTTGGTGCTCAGGTTACGCAGTCTCTCTGCCCAATATTGCCTTGTCTTCCTTTAATATCAGTTATGATGTCTGTGTTCTACTGCTTCTTTCTATGAAGACTACTTCCAGGTACTTTAGGCCACCTTTGCTATTAAGTTGAACACTGGGACTCTTGGTAGAACAAGTACGTACTTTTCTGTATCCACAGTGTTTTCTACCATTGCACGCTAGGAGTACCCTACTTGGGAGAGGAGGAGCTCAGGTTGGCCTTCACGCCTGACACTTTCCCCCTTAACTGTGATGCTCTGTACCAGGGCACAGTAGAGGGAATATTGGACTGATGGTGAGTTGCTTGTATTCTAGGCCTCAGTGTCATTGGTTAGGTGTGTGATCTGATTAAGCTATTTAACTACCTAAGCAGTTTTCTTATCTATAAACTGGGGATGGTAATAGTAATGCACTGTTAGGATTATTCTGAATTTCAAAGGAGCTAATCCTTTGGTCAAGTAGTCATTATTCAGCACCCTTAGTGCCCAACAGTTAAGAGTATGTAACGATAGGGGCTGGCCGAGTGGCGCGATGGTTAAGAACTGGTTTGGGATGCCAGAGGGCCCCGGTTCGGATCCCACATATGAGGGCCAGTGACACTGCCCTCCACAGCTAAGATGCTGAACAACAGCTCAACCTGGAGCTGGGCTGCCATGAATCGCCTGCGACGGCATAGGCTGCAGCCCCTGTGGCAGTGGGTTGCCATGGGCTACCGTATGTAGTCAGCAGCCGCAGTGAGCGGCCATCCAGAAGCCGGCGACTGATCTGGCTTGCCCAGGAAGAGCGCAATGATGGTGCCAACTTGGGCCAGTGAAACAACGTCCTCCACAACTAGACTGAAGAACAAAACGACAGCAACTTGTCTGTTCCCCTTCACCCAACTCCCCAATAAGAATCTTTAAAAAAAAAAAAAAGAGTATGTAACGATAGAATAGGGAAGGCTTTGGCTAGGACTGAAAGTTGTAATTAGGTGGAGGGGCTGGGATGGATGGGGGTGACAGTGCAACTTGTGAAAATGGGACAGGGCAGTTCAGAGGAAGGATCATTGGGCTCGGGGTTGAGCTTGCTTCTGGTTCCAGGCTGTGTGTTGGAATCAGAGGGGACAGGTCTCTAGTAATTCTGAGATATGCTAAAAAATGTCGGTAAACCTATGATGCTTTTAGAAACAATGGTATGAAACATCCCTTTCTGAAAAATACGTTCATCTTCCAAACTTGTTGAGCGAGCCTTGCCTGCGCTGTGGCTGTGGCCCAGAAATGTTCACGTTACTTGCCCAAACTTGCTCATTGTTTTTGATGATCATGACTCATCAGAATGATTTTGCTGAAGGTGCAGCAATTTGGTAAATTTATATTCTAAAAAATCTGTTTTTCTCTGCCTTGAAAAGCATATCAAACTGGTGGCTAAATGTAAATTAAAAAATCCAAATGGGTATTTAATATCTATTACTTGCTAATTATAGAAAAATAAAGAAAAGTGTTTCCTTTTATTTAGTTAATACTATTTGAAGAGTCTATTAATATTAACAAAGGACAAATAAGCTTACAAAAAATTGGTTAAGTGTTTAATGTTTCAATGTAGATGATGAGAGAAGACATAAAATTTTATTTACTCTTGCCTTTAAATTTTTAATAGCTTTATTACTGTTATTATTATAATTATACATTTATTTTTTTTCCAGCTTGATGAGGTATAATTAACACATAAAATTGTAAGATATGTTAAGTGTACATTGTAGTGATTTGATATATGTATATATTATAAAAGGGTTTCCACCATTGAGTTAATTAACACATCCATCACCTAATGTATTATCTTTTTTTTTCTTTTTTGGTAAGACTATTTAAGTTCTCTCTTTGCAAATTTCAGTTATATTATAGTGTTATTAACTGTAGTCACCATATTTTATGTCAGATCCTCAGACTTTATTCATCTGATAGCTAAACGTTTGTACCCTTTTACTTACTTCTCCCTACTTCCCCCACCTTACTCGACCTGAAAAGAATAATTAATTCAGCAAACATTTATTAAGTCTCACTTTATGCTAGATACTTTGCTGGGCCCTATGAAACAGGATGGAAGGAGGTACTCTTCTTGTTCTCAGGTACCACAGAGACTAGTCCAGAGACACAATGAAACAGATACTGTGATAGAAGCAAGTATCAGCATGAGCATAAAGGAAGGTGTGGTCCATTGCACGCAGACGATGTCCTGGAAGGAAAGGCTTTACAAAGAGGTCGTGATTCTTAACAGTGCTTCTCCTGCTTCATGTTTATTTGAATCACCTGGAGATCTTGTTAAAATGGAGACTGTGATTCATAGATCTGGGGTGGGGCAGCACATCAGTGGCAAGGATTTAGAAGAAGCATCTATTGACAAGACACAGGACTTGATGAAAGGAGGCCGTTTTATTTCCAAAGTTAATGATAAGCAGAAGAATAGAGCAAAATAATCTAGACAAATAAACATAAGGGGTGTGTGTGTGTGTGTGTGTGTGTGTGTTGTGTTTAGAGGGGTTGGGGGCATGACAAAGCATAAGGAAGAAGTTGGTACGAATCAACCCTAGGACTGCCTTTTATGCCTTTAAATATTAAGAGGATTAAAATAATATCATTATACTGTAGATAATGGGGAATTCGAGGTCTTAGATTGGGTCATGACCTTAGCTTTCATGTCCAGGAGATAAACATGATGGAAGTAGAAAGTACGGAAGATGGGACTGGAGGTGTTCAGTACAGTAGTAGTTGAGGCCACATACGGTGGACTCACACCATGGAAAGTGCACGAGCGTAATTGTCCAACTTTTGTAGAAGGGGGTTAAGGATTCGTAGGACTTGGATTGAGAGGAATAAGACCTCTTTGAAAAGAAGTGATGTGCTTAGTGAATTAGACTAGTAACATCCTGGTGTCAGAGAAAAGGAGGTTGGTTGGAGCAGAATGTGTACCTACGTAAAAGAATATAGTTCAGGGTAAGGCTGGAAACAGGTGGAACTTGCATGTGGGTGGAGCTTTCATGTCGGTGACCTTAAATGCCAGACCTAAGGACCTTACACTCCTTTTTCTCTATTAAGAGAGTTTTGTAGGCGAAATCATGGGACAAAGCGATAAGCATTACTCTCTGGACAAATTAATCACTAATGGTGCCGTTAGTAATATGTGACACTATCATTTTCATCTAAGGTCTTTTCAACTCTTGATGATCTTCTCAGTTATGTGATAGTAGCTTTGAGAGATTTGGTACTAAACTATATGGGAATGATTCCAGTGCTATGAGGCTGGGAAAAAAAGGAAAAATGGACTTAAGTTAGCATAAGTAAGTAGGAGGTGTCTAGTTGTCCAAGTTGAAACAATAAGGAATTGAAAACGTGAGTGGCATTGGGGTTCAGGAGGACGATAGGGCTGCAGGTAAGAATTTGGGATTCATTTATGTAGGGCAGTGGTTAGAGTAAAGTAAGCAAAACAGACTCTAAGAAAGATGGTTGTGAAGAACGTTGAGAGTAAAGGCTTAAACTTGGGCAATGCCCATATTCAGGCAGCAGCTGTGAGCATCAGGTTAATGCAGTTTCAAAAATGCCAGAGATTGTAAAGCATACATATTTTGTGAACAAGTGGAACCACTGTTTGCTGCAAGAAAGAGAAGTTTGGGTGACGACCATTTAAGTTTGCCAAATAAGGAGTGAAGATGAAAAGACGAGAGGAAGAAAGACTACTGCTAATAGCATAGCACCACCTGGTGTTAGACATGAGGTATTTTTAAAATGAAGGTTTTTTTTCCTCATCAAATTGAATTTTTCTTCCTTCCTGTTTGGTTGTTTTAATTTTTTTTCACCTATTTTTTATATGGAAGCCTAGTGTATGAATGGGCTCATTGGTTTACTTTTTTATCAACAGCTTGGGGGGAAGTCATATCAATTTGTTTATTCTTGGATTTCAACTTTGCCAAAAACTTCTGTCTCACATGTCTATTCTGATCTATCTCTGTGTCACATAAGAGGTGAGTTAATTACTTGAGGTGACAGGGTTACAGCCACCCTCCTCATCTCCTCACCACCACCTCTGCCCTTCTGCTTCTAAATTATCAAAAATAAAAAAGTCGATATGAAGATTTCCTCTGAAGTTACATGATTCTGAATACTCATGTTCTATTTTGACTCAGTTGTTAGTGCAGGAGTTTGAGTTTACAGTGAATAGCAGTGGAAACATTTTGGTTGTTTTTTTTTTAAACCCCCAAGGAAAATCTACATCTTTGAAAACTTCACAGCCCTCTTGGGTGACTTTGCCTAGATCCAAAGCGTCCTTGAAAACATCTACGCTGCGAAGGACAGGAAGCACCTCCTCTGTTGCCAGCACCCACAGTGACCTGAGCACTTACAGCAACAATTGTAAGTCAGTCTTACATCAACCTTTGGCGGTTGTGAAACTCTAGTTATAAGAAAAACTAGTGCATTGCAAATAATAATCAGAATTTTTTATTTCTGTGATTCAAGGTTTCCCTTGTAGAAATATACATACTACTTTTCCCTTGGAATTGCTTTAAATGTTTGGCAGGAAAAACATTCTTTCAATGATATTCTCCTTGATGAATGTGCTATGAAATACTGAAACATTTATGCATTGAAGGCAACTGGTATTTTTTTGCATGAAGATTCTAAAGTGTATCATTTGAAGTGGTGATGTGTTTTGGTTTGTTTAAGGAAAGATAGCAATGTAGGGTTTTTGGAATCCAACTAGACATCAGAAAAAAAAAAACTTCAGTTCCATTTACTTTGTAGAAGACTATATTTGGTAGATGTGTATTTTATAATCTTATACTGTGGACGGCCGATTCAGTGTAGTATGACTAGTATGGATATTGTAACTTCAAGCCTAATTTTAAATAATTTAAACTCAGGAGAATATTTTTAAAGTTGTCAGTCAGTGTAAATTCTGTTTTCTGTGTATAAAATGGGTGAATTAATCGAGCTATACTTTTTCATTCAAAAGATGTAGTTGGTCTTAGTATTTATTTGCTCATTTCCTTTTAAATTTTCTCACAAAATAATCCGCGGATTAATTAATTTGAACAGTTTTTGGAGTGCCTCCTGTGTACAGGCAGCATGAAAATGCAGTAAGAGATACGGGATATAAAAGAAATGGTCCACATCTAAAAGGTAGTTGAGGAGGAAGAAGATGTTTATGTTTACATAGGGAACTAGAATACCAGATAAAATAAGATATAAGGATATGGTGGGGAGAAAGGGAGTTCTGTCTCCTTTCAGGAGGGATTAATTTCTTCTTCCTGGTGAGAGGACAGGGACAAAGTGGAGTCATGGTTATTAACCCTTCTGGGCGTGGAGGATTATTGTGGGGTTACCACACATTATTTCATTTTATTTTTCTCTCAAGTATCTTCTGCTGTTACTCTGATTTCCTATAGAAGGTAATTGAGGCTCAGAGAGGTTGTCGCTGGTCCAAGGGCACTCAGCCAGTATGTGAAAGAATTGAGAATGTGTCTGTGGAGGGTAAGTCATTGAATTCATGACTGAATTAATGAGGACATTTCTGAGAGTTCGCTTAGCAGCAGTAGCAGCTGGTTTCATATGATAGTCAGTAGCTGTATACCAGAACTTTAGGAATCCTGGAAAATGTCACTTAAAAGCAAACAAGATTATTATCTGCTTATTGTTTGAATTTTGAAGCGTGGCATAAGATCAGAAGGGTTTGCATGTAACAGAGAATTCTCTATGCATTTGAAAAGGTACTTCACATATGTATTATTTTTAAGGTCATTTCACTTGCAGCCGTTCTTTGTTTGCAATGTGATTTTTAAAAGCAAGCTGCCAAAACAGAATCAACAGCGTGCCCTGGGAGGACTGTGTCGCGATGGAATTTGTGACACTGGAGGCAGACACATCCTGTAGCCGCTGCCCAGGGTTTCCCATTGACAGCCATGTTGACTTGGCCACTGTTTTAGTACCGTGTCTGACACTCCTAAGGAGGTTGTAAAATGCTTTTGTCCCTTCCTTTTTGTTTTTTAACAAAGGGGTTTACCGTATCCCCACAGAGCCTGTCTAGTGGCAATGTGTCCTTGTCGCAGATTAAGCATTCAAATAAATGAGTCTCTTTCTTAGTTCGATTCGCTAGCTGGTTTAATCTGCTCTGTCTGTGTAGTGCCTTGGAGCCTAGAGATTTTTTTTTTTTTTCTCCTCCATTCTAATTCACTAAGACCAAGCATGAGGGATATGGGAGTGAACATGGCTGCAGTTTTTCCTGCTTAAGCTTGCTTTGATCCTTTTAAATGACTGTACCAGGAGGATTTCGCAGTTGTACAGAGACGGATATTTCTTCAAAAATATTTATCAATTCTACACTCACCCCACCGGCCGGTTCAGAGAAGCACTATGATGCTACCTTATTGACACTGCTGGTCCTGGGATCCTACAGCCTCTGTATAGTTCCTTTGTTAGCCACGTTTACTGGGAAAAGAAGTAGGTCGACAATTTCTGGTTTGATTCTGTTCTTTGTAAGCATGCTTAAATTATAGTCAACACATTCATTTAGCATCTCTCGATTGCTAGTTTTTTGTAACTTGTAATTTATGTTGATTGTAGCATTTCTCGGACATATTTAAGTTGTGAATGATTCTGTATAGAACCACGTTTATTGTATCTTTTATGTGTTTTGGCACTCTTAATAGAATTCAGCAGCATTGTCAATGTTCCTGGCATGTGCAATTGCTTTATTATCAAAGATTATTGGATAGTCTCATTTCTGCTTAAATAGCTAGTAGTTTTTGTGTATGTAGCTTATACTTGTACGAGTATAGAAAAATACTTTCCTAGAATTAAAATGAAAAATCACATCTTGGATTATTTTACTCATTGTATTATATCCAAAAATATTCAAGATATGTACTTTTTGAAGATTACCTAAAGACGTGAAGATATCATTTTGAGCTGAAATTGTTCTATTTCTGATAGTGATGGGCCATATTAGGAAATAATCTTTTGATCATTGTTTTGATGTATATTGGGTTGAGCATTTGAACCGTTAAAGAACGTTTTGTTGCCTTGTCTGCTCATTTCTTTATGATGTGGTACTGCTAGTGGCATCATTTAAAAACCTTTTTTATTTTAATTAAAGTTTATTGGGGTGACAATTGTTAGCAAAGTTACATAGATCTCAGGTGTACAATTCTGTAATACATCATCTGTATATCACATCGTGTGTTCACCACCCAGAGTCAGTTCTCCTTCCATCACCCTATATTTGATCCCCTTTACCACCTTCTACCACCCCTCTCCCCACTTACCCTCTGGTAACCCATTTAAGAACTGAGATCACACAGTGCTATTGTAAAATTAGCGTCTGGTTCTTGGTACTTTGAGATCCTGTGGAAATACCATTACCAAGTTTTAAAGTGACTGAATCAAGATATATAAGGCAATAAATCTTTCTTATTTGGGGACTTTAGCAGGCTCTGTGTGTGTGTTTTTTTTAAGTATAGAAAAATATAAAGTTATGATATTCATTTTGTATATCAGCATGAAACATGGCATAGTAGCTTGTATATCAAATGTGCCCATTTATGGAAGTTTATACGCTCCCCCATAGTCACCTAAAGTCGAGGTTTTAAGATCATTGGATAAAAATGATATATTGTAAGTCTTGAACAGAGCTGAAGGTTTGAGGACCATTGTGCCAAATGTAGAAGGCAGTCTTTGGAGAGTGTATAATTTTGCCAGCAAATACGAAGTCCAAGGGTTTTCTTTTCTTTCCATTTTGGCCACAAAGACAGTTTATTTTTGAGAGACAGATGGTGAGTGGAAATGTAAGAGATGCACACGAAAGCTATTTGCACTGTCTGGGAACTAGGAGAATGGGTGGAGGCCAACCAAAGAAATGGAACATTCTTTACCTTCATGGCCAGCCCCACGCAGAGCGTGTAATATATGGGAAAGGCCATTTAGCTCAGACTCCGCCTAGTTTTCCTCCTAACTCCTGTGAAGTCCGACAGTCGTTCCACTCCCTTAGCCTCAGTGTTCTCACCTGATGAATGGGTGGGGGGAGGACTAGATTATCTTCAAAATTCATACAGCAACAAATGTTTCTGACCACTTTTATTTTCTTCACTACAGTAAGATGGTGCCTGATAGTTTGGGAGGAAGTGCTTTGAGCTGTTGAAGTGATTATGCTGACAGAGAAGGAAGGATTAATCTTGTTTCCCCTCAGTGTCTTCCTCACTGCAGGATGGCAAGTGGGTATTGTCTCACCTGCCAACTCTGGCCAGTTGGTAAAAATCACCTGGGGTACAGGGCTGAAGGTTTTTCAGGCTGCTGCTAGGTTTAGAGCAAAAGTTTGTGCTTGACTAGCGATGTCTGCCATAGGTGAGGCAGGGCTGAAAGACAAGCAGTATATACCCTGGCCCTGTGTGGCAAAACATGCTTAATACATGTGCATGTCTGAATGGACTAGTTAATAAGAAAATACTGTTATCCAGATTGGTATTAATTTTGTTTTCATTCTTTTAATATTTCTGTAGGGTATATGTGAGACATTCTTGTTATCACAAAGTTGACTGGTTTTGCTTTTGGAATTTGAAAGCTTAGACTTCAGCAGTGATTTGATTTCAAGCCAGGTGAACAGATGATCTGGCACAGTGGGGAGTGTTAAACTGATTCACAGAAAAGAAAAAAAAAATCAAGAAATGAGCAGAATGTTGGCTCTGTGTGTGTATGCATATTTGAATAAACAAAACAAAAACTAATGTTAACTGCTAGAATGTAGTATGAAACATTAGTTTGCAGATAAAAATCTGGAACATGAGAAACTCTTCTCTAAAAGGAAAATCATTGCTTCTGTTGAGGCTTCTCTGAAAAATCGGTCTCCATTTTCTCATTAGACTCAGTCCTCTTTCTGTGTGTCTCGCTCTCATTTCATTTGCACCACATTTTGACCATGGGGAAATGAACACTAAGTGTTCCAGAGAACCTATTATTTTGGCATAAGTGAGAAAACCTAGCACCAATGACAAAAACAGAACAGGGGCAATTTTAAAGTGTATATCAGTGCTGGCTTAGATCTAGCAAGCACATGTGGAATTTCACATGTTATTCTACAGACCAACTGTTATTGAGTAGTTGGGGCTCCCTAGAGCACTGTGTTTAGGAGAATTCTGAGGACATGTTTGGTCTCAGTGGGTCGGGGTATCATAATCAGTTAGTGGGGACCCCAGGACAGCATGGATGCTCTTTCTATACATGATAGTCAGACCATTCTTTATACATAGAGAGGTGAAATGATTCAGCACATCTAGGCAGTGGTCAAGTCAGGACCAGAACTCATATTTCAGATTCCATTCCAGTACTTGGAGCTATTATGTTTCTGTTATTATACTGGAACTTTTGCCACTGAAGAGTGAATCATTTGGATATAATAACTCTGGACAAGAGAAAAATTTAGATATCATCAGGATACCCAAGCAGGTGCCATGTTAGGAATGGAAATTGAGAGCAGGAGAAATACTTCAGTGGCATCATGCCTCGTAGTGAAGTACACCCTTCAAGTTGGGGTTTACTAGAAAGCAATGGGCCAACTTAGAAGAGAGTGTTTAAAGAGAATAAGATATGTCAGTGTTGGTCATAAAAGAATGTGCGGCTCAGCACAGTCTGTCCCAACCATTGGAAAGGGGGGAAGAGTGAAGGTAGGAAGTATATATGATCACAGAGAGAGGGTATATGTTTGTGTGTGTGTGTGTGTGTGTGTGTGTGTGTGTGTGTGTGTGTGTGTATGTGTTTATACCTGAGTCAAATTCAGAAATTTTGTCCTTGACATATGGATTTTGACCCTACCGTTTTATGAGGTTGATGATGATCTGGTGCTGAATCCAGTGTTCAGTATAACAATAGTGAGCCTGAAGAGTGGCACTGAGACAATTTCTCCCCAGGACACCACCTCCTGTCCTGTGTGGGATAGAGAGCCAAGGGACAGAAGTATTGTGCCTCATGAGAAATGCGTCTTTTGCTTTAGTGAGAAATCCTTTTATTGAGTTCTTTGGTAACTGAAGGTCTTTGTGTTTAAAGCTTAGTAATGAAAAGTATGAATTTAGGTACTTAAGAATTTATAGTAAGTCTGTAAATTAGATTCAGTTTTCCAAAGTCTGAATAGGTGACTTATTTGCTGCTGAATATATTTTTTAAAATGTTTTGAGAAAAGTAAGACTAAAATCCAGATTGTTGCAATAAATGGTTAAGACACTAATAACATCATTTACTTCTTTTCTTGGATTTTGTTGTAGCAAAGGTTGTAATGCTAATTTAAACCCAGCATTCATTTTGTATGGAAATCTAAAGATTATTCTCTGGGAAATTGTGGTTCTGTTGTTTTAAGACTATAAAATTATTCCCCATTCATCCTTTAAGAAAGTATGCTGAATTTTATAGTCGTCATATCTTCAGTATTATATTTCACATTAGCTCTCTGTCAACTTTGGAAAAACCAAGTCTCTTGGTTTGGGGGAACAAGAGAATTGGAAGGAAAGACAGGAAATTGACAGGAACTTGTCAGTAGGAGGGAAGGCTCTGTGTTGATTTGACCTAATATTAGAAATGTTATCTGGGCACAGGAAGAATGAACAGATGGCTCATTGTAGAGAGACTCCACATAGATCAGGGGAGAAGAAGCTCATGTCTCTACAGTCCTCAAATGTGACACCTTTAAGCACTATTGCAGGAGTTGGGATAGTTGAGCCAAGTGAAAAATTTCTAGCTGTCTTCAAATTTGTGACATATTTGTCAACAAGGTAGACATCTCACCCTTTTCTAGAAATGTGAGGTGAAGAAAGGGATCAAGGTTGGTAATAAATAAAGTTATGATTGTAAGTGTTGAATATTAGAATAAAATTGGGTGCTTAGGATTGGGTGTCAAGATTATTTGGAAACAATAAAGCATCCAGTCTTGGTTGGTGGAGGGGAAATTAAGCTTGGAGACCAGGTAGTGAATGAACACACTTCCAGATTTCCCCTCTGGCCCAGTGGGTAGATGACTTAAACATGCCAGGGGTTTGTGTGGTTGGCAAGGGGAGATGGATAAACAGGGTAGCTTTTATGGGAAGAGAGAAGCATAAAACTTTCCAAGTATTTTTGTATGGATTTCTTTATTTTCTTGGATATGGAGAGAAAAAGACAAAGGATTGTGTTTTTATTCCTGAGCGTTGTATACCATGATAATCTCTTAGGGAGAGCAAAGCAGCACTGTTAAAATTCCTTGCAGGAGCTAAACTCTAGACTGTGTGCTTTTGCAGAGATTATTCAATTATGGAGCACTGAAAGGAAAAGTGTGAATTTAGGATGATTTTTTTTAAAGGAAATACTGATTTTTAAAAATAGGTCATCGCTGTGCTTCTTTTTTTTAAATTACAACTCAAAATGTTTAAAACAAGTTTTTTTATGTTTTTATCTTTACATGCTGGTACTGTTTTTTTCAAACCTTTCTCTAATGTTTTTGATACTTTGTGAGATTTTAAAATGTAGATTCTCCCTGCTAAAACAATGCAATAAAGGATGGTAATGGTGATTATAGTCCTACAGTAGCCATAAAGTCTGCTTAACCGTACCACAGCAGAAGGGCACTATTTCATAAGACCTCATGATGGATCAAATACACATTCGGCACAAATATAATGTGAAACTGCATTCTTATTTGGGATTCAGCTTGCAGGAACCAAGTCCTGCTCTTCCTTTTCCTCCTGCTCTTCTCCCTGCCCCAAATACAAATCTTAAGGACACTGCAGAAGATTTGGGTTCCCGTTTTAATCCAGTGGGAAGCCATAAATGCAAAGAAGCAATTCACAATTTAGGAAGAACCTATATAAACATGCTCTCCACAGTTGTCTTACGTGACTGAAAGATATTTAGTTTTTTGATGCCAATGGCTTCAGTTATTATTGGGCAAAAGAAGAAATAAGAGTAAGCAAGACATCTACTTAAGGCTTTGACTTAATAATATTGCCATGGTTTCAAATCTTAATTCTGATAGAAAATCAACAAGTTACAGATAATAGTTATTATTTTGAAAGCTCTGTGCTTTATTCTGAAGTGTCACTGTCACTTGATATGCTAAGGTTGTCTTTAGAGTCCCAATGAAGAAAGATGCAAAATCAGAGACTGTAGTGAAATAAAGAAGATGCTCTTCCAGAACACATTGACTTAGTCTAAATGTGAAAAATGCTAAAGTGTAGCATTTGCTCAGTTCATTCTTCCCTCTCACTTTTACCCTGACATTCTCCTTGAGAAATAGTGGAGTTCTACTGCTGTGGGAGCCCCCTTTGCCTAGTTAACTATAGTGGACTCAGAATTATTCCATAGCCCAAGCAAAGTTGGTTAGCATCAAAGCTTCTCCAAAAGTCCTTTCTTTAACAATTCTTTTACTGCCTGGAAACAGTTTTCCTTTCCTTTCTCTCTTTCTTTCTCCCTTTCTTTCTCTCTCTCTCTCTCTCTCTCTCTCTCTCTCTCTCTCTCTCTCTCTCTCTCTCTCCCTCCCTCCCTCCCTCCCTCTCTCTCTCTCTCTCTCTCTCTCTCTCTCTCTCATAGGGTTCCTGTATGAGTGAGAGAGGGAAGATTTACATACAACATAAAAGATGGTTTGTATTATTTAGGTGGGACTCCCTCTTATGTTTTAGCTTTGGAGCTTAGGAACCTTTGTTCCAGGGCAGATGTTGGCATGCCAGCTCCTTGCTGGAGCAGGAGAGAATCAGAAACAGATCTCATCCTTGTAGCTGCCAAGGGGTTTTTACATTATGGTTCTCAAATTATTACCACAGCTGGCTGCCTGTATGCTGCTTGGCCACGTGGAGGTGGATGCTCTTCACAGCTGCACCATGGGCGTCTTTGTTATAGAACATGGATGGCCACATCAGTTATTTCCTAACGTTTATCTGGGATGAAAGCCGAACTGAGCAATAATCGTAAAGCTGGACTGTGCAGGATGTCTGGGCACTCTGGTTATAGCTTTTACCCTGCCCCCCTGAGGACAGGAGCTACCTGTTACCAATCTCTGTCATCCTAGTATGCAATAAGGACTGGCACATTATTGGTGCTTAGTGACCACTTGTTGATTATAGGAGAAAGGAATACATTGTGAACGACTGATACTATACTTATTAAAAAAATGTACTTTTTTCGTATTGTTACAGCTGGTAATACTGCTGTCATCAAATACGAGGAAAGCCCTCCAAAGCCAGCATTTCAAAATGGTTCATCAGGATCGCTATATTTGAAGCCTTTGGCACCCAGAGCTCATCATGCACACTTACTGAAAACTGCTCCAAAAGGTATGGTCCTTATTGCGGGGAGAAGAGGGAGGACAAGATGTGTGAAGTCCTTGGCTTGAGGGAAGTCTAATTTTGACAATTAGGTTTATGGCGTGTTGACCAATTATTTGTAAAAAGTCTGTTCAATAAGAGGGAATAATGCCTTTTTACATGGAGGGAGCTGTTCTTGTTCTGATAGTCTGTAGGTTCTACAGTTAAAACTTGATACATATAAACCAGCAGGCAGGTCAAAGGTATAAGGCGAAAAGAGACTTCAAGAGTAAAATTATGCTAAGGTAGTGATGGAGAGTAGTGAGATACAAATGCATGCTTTACTTCTCACCCTTGGTCCAAATCATATTATTTTTTTCTGTTTGATTTTGTGTTCTTTATCTCTCTTCTTTCTCTGTATTCCCACTTTATAATTGCTGTGGCTATGAAGAATACCTTTCAGGTTTACAAAATATGGGGTATATACTTAACATGGAATGTTTTCATGTAGCTTTATTACAATGGGTCTGAAACACTAGAAGTTTCATTTTGTGCTTACTGAATCAAAACATTGCTTAACTAAAGGAATAATTGTAAAGGAGAAACTTGACCTATGATATGTGATTCATATTGATTGAGAATTTGAAAAGCAGAAACATACAGAGTTCTTCATCCCAGCAACCACAAATAGCGGTTGCATTTGCTCCATTTTTTTCTCCTCTGCAGATAGAAAGGTTTTGTTTCAACAAAACTTAGGGCCTAGTTTGTACATGCTCCTGTCTGTGTCTTGCTTTAATTAATTTAGTAGGATATCATGAGACTGTCTACATTTTAAATGACTACGAAACAGTCCCGTTTTCCAATTCTGTGTTTCCTGGACAATTTCTGCCTTTTGCTGTGTAAAACCGAGACAAACATCTCTGAACGAGCACAGTGTTCATTGCTTCAGACTCATAATCACTTCCACGGGCTGTCCCTGAAAGATGAATTACTGGGTGAAACTGTATGAATCTTTTTGAGATTGTTAATATATGTTACTAAATAATTTTCCTAAAGGCGTTAGTCTCTCACAGTAGTGTGAGATTGTCTGTTGCTCTGCATCGTCCTCATCGTGTGTGTGTGTGTGTGTGTGTGTGTGTAGGATTATGTGGTAACTAGGTGAATTACCTACTGAATTTTATCAACACTTTTGCCTTTCTACTGAACTGAAGAGAAAGTAGGCATAAATATTGGAAAAGAATTCTTTAGCGTTCCAGCAGGCTCTTGTCTGTCCAGGATCTTAAATAAATTTCCGAGACATCAAGTGACCCCTTGCTGGGATGACATTAATATGCGAATCTGTGGTTTTTATTGATGATAAAACTCCGTAATCTACATGTACACCAATAACTGAGAAGAAATATCCAATTTTGATACTAAGATCACTTTCAGAAAATTAGAACTTCGTGATTCTATGATAACTTTATAGAACAGGGAAGTCTAATATGTCTCGCTAGTGAATTTATAAGCTTTTGTGTCACAAAGGTTTTGCTTGAGTGGGAATCAATGCTTTCCATTTATAACAGCCACATATTTTAAGAGATTATCTTCTCTATAAAATGCACAGATAGAATGTGGCAGCTGTTCCAACCAGTAATCTGCAGATGATTATGCCCTAGAAATGACTATATCATGTCAAGAGGAAACACTTGTAGTTTCCTTCTAGTGCTTATGTTTGTAGTCTGTCCCTTTTACCCACTCCTCGTCGTATTTATTTTACAGCTATATTGACATATAATTGACAAATAAAAATGTAATATATTTGATGATTTGCTGTACATATACATTGTGAAAGGATTCCCCCTAGCTGTATTTTATATTGTATCAGTTTGGAGAAAAAGCTTAAGTGTGATTTCTTTCATAGCTCAATAGCAAGTGAACCGGATGTAAAACTTGGCAGTTTTAGAAATCACACACTCGTGGCTGTTTTTCCTAAAGTCTGGCCCTTGTTTTCTCTGTCAGCAGTAGAATAGCATAAAGTGTGTAATAAATGTGTAAATTCAATTTTGATAAAATTTGAATTTCAAATGTTCCTGACTGAAAAAGTATTGTGGTTTTTCCTATCATATTTCATTTGCGACAAAGAATTCCTATCACCTTGAAACTCCCATTTTGATGTTATTTGGGATGTCATTTTATACTTATACTATGTTTGATAAAGTTAATTGTATCTGAGTGGTATTCTCCATCTGGAACCAGAAATTTAGATGTTAATGGATTGTTTTTGAAAATAAAACAAATCTTATTTTTTAAATGGTTTACTTTTGTGTAATACTTCATGTAAAATGTGTATTTTACAAATATTTCTTTTATATTTTAGGCTCTTCAAGAAAAAATCTATTTACAGCTTCTAATGCGGGTAAGTGACCCCTTTAAATTTGGGTGCAGAAAAAGAATCTTTTTGTAAAATTGTGTTATCATTACAAGTATTTAAATTTATTTAAAGTGATTTTTCATTAGTATGCTTATCAGTAGAATTTCAAGTTTGTGGCATAAACATAACTGCTTATGAGCTGGGCCAGCATAGGGTTAAAACTTGGTGAGCATGATTGACAAGCTATCTGACACAAAGGATGTTTTATTAATAACAGGTAACTTTAGTTTTTTTAAAATGATTTTTTAATGTGGTCTAAATGAAGTGGAGAATATACTCTTTCCAAGGTAAATGTTATTTTTCAATTGGATTGTCTTTAATTGCTAAATTATCTCAAGATCAGGTTTTAACACCTTTTAACAATTCAGCAGCTTAACATTTTTTTTTTTTAACACTTCTCAGTAGAACAAACTCCCATCTGTCTCCAAGACAGCCTACAGCCTCACCCATTTGAACCACAACTGGGAATCAAAAAGCCTTGTCTCTCGAGAAGCCATAGAAGAAGATTTTCACAGAATGTATTCACTACAATTCCTATATTTTATCTATAGCTGATTAGGTCCCATACACTATGCTCTCTTATTTAATATGCAGTTCTAAGACTGCTAGTTATGTGGCTTCTACGTCCATTCAAGATTAGAACAGCAAATCAAAAGCGAGGAAGGTATGATAGCACATTGACTACGTTTTATCAGGCACTGTGACGGTGTTGGGTGCTAAGGATACAATGGCGAGCCAAAAATGAACAAGAGCCTTGACTTCAGGAAGCTTACAGGAATGACAAAAAATTGCACAAATAAACATAAAATTACAATTGCAGTAAGTTTTAGGGGGAGGTTACATGTTCCTGTGAGAGGCCTGGTTAAAGGGAGTGATCTAGTGAGAGAAACCTAGGCAGCAGGGATAAATTTGTGACCCTCCCCTGCCCCTGTATATAGATAGTAATGAAAGAAAATAGGGTGGATAATGTTACATAGGGGATAATTAATGTCCTTGATGCCCCAAGATGTTTTCAGTGTCCTCAGCTTAATAAGGCACAATGTGAGAGAATTATACCACAATTATTAACCTTTTGTAGGTAAAGCTAGAGAAATATCAGCCATGTGGTGATTTAAATTCCAAAGGTCCCCAATAACCTGAGTTTGAATATATACGTTTACTAAAGCTTTTCTAATTAAAAAACACAAAAGAAATTATTCTGCATACATTGAGATTTTTACTTTCTTTTGTTTTAAATTTCTAGCACATCCTCATATTTAGGAGGAAAGAGATAGCTAACATGCTATAGAATTACTTTGTTTATGTTAGAAAGTCAGATAATCTTTATCAGAGAGCTAAATGGTATGATAACACTATATTTAACTAAAAAACTTCCAGAATGGCTTCCAAAGGGGCTGCACCAGTTTACATTTCCACCAGCAGTGCAGGAGAAATCTAGTTTCTCCACATCCTCACCAACACTTGTGTTTGTCTGTTTTATTATAGCCATTCTAGTGGGTACGAAGCGGTGTCTTATGCAGTTTCAGTTTGTGTTTCCATGATGACTAGGGATGTTGAGCTTGTTTTCTAAACTTGTTGGCCATTTGTATGTGTATTCTTTGGGGGAAACATTTATTCAAATTTCTTGCTCACTTTAAAATTATTTGTATTATTGTTGAATTTTATTGTAGGAATTCTTTGTATATTCTTAATATTAGACTCTTATTAGATACCTGAGTTGCAAATATTTTTTCCCCATGCTGTGGCTGTTTGTTCACTTTTTTTGATAGTGCACTTTGAAGCACAAACATTTTTAATTTTGATGAGGTTTAGTTTATCTATTGTTTTCTTTTGTTGCTTATGCTTTTGGTGTTATATCTAAGAAGCCATTGCGTGATGCAGGGTCATGAAGGTTTATGCCTATGTTTTCTTCTAAGAGTTTTATACTTTTAGCTTTTACACGTAGGCCTTTTGAGTTAATTTTTGTATATAATATGAAATAGGGGTTCCGAGTTCCTTCTTTTACATGTAGATACCAAGTGGTCCTAGCACCATTTGTTAAATATACTCCACTTTCCTCATTGAAACATCTTGGTGCCTTTGTTAAAAATAGTTGGCTGTAAATGTGAGGATTTATTTCTGTACCCTTCAAATCTATTCCATGGATCTTATATGTCTGTTCTTGCCAATACCACACTATCTTAATTACTGTGGTGTAATATGTTTTGAAATCAGGAAGTATGAGTTTTCTAGCTTGTTCTTTTTCAAGATTGTTTTGGCTATTCTGGGTCCCTTGTATATCCATATGAATTTTAGGGTCAGCTTCTCAATTTCTGTAAGGAAATCAGCTGGGATTTTGATAGAGATTGCATCGAATCTATAGATGAATTCCTGGAGTTTTGTCATCTTTACAACTTTAAGTATTTTGATCCATAAATATGGGATAGCTTCCCTTTTAGTTAGGCCTTTTTCAATTTCTTTCAACAGTTTTTTTTGTACTTTTCAAGATATAACTTTTGTAGTTCTTTTGATAAATATTTGTGTGGCTTCTGTGCTTTGGAAGCTGCCATTTATATTGGTCCCAGTAAAGGAGCTGGTTAAATAAATCTCATATGCCTGTTTTAATCTGAATTAAATATGAAACTTGAAAAGGCAATCTTTGTCTTGAGTCTATGATCATGTAAATTAGTAAAAAGGATATTTCTTCTGATAGGCATAGTAAATAATAATCACCAATGTGTATCTCCTTTCTGCTATAGAGAAAAAGCTACTAGCGTTAGGCATTTACTCTTGTCACATTGTTGGGCTGATATTATGCCTTATTTCTAAAACAGATAATTGATTGACCCTTGACAGGTAAGGTTATCAGAATGGAAAATTAACCTCTAATTGAGAAAATAAATGGACAGTATTAGTTATGTTTTGTTTATGTGGTTTGGTTTGGCAAAGCATTTAACCATGGAGTAGAAATGGGGCGTATGACAGAGTTCAAGAATGTCTCCAAATAATCCTTCATAATCAATGCTCTAATAATTGCAGTGGAAAAGATATATTTTAAGAGGTCAGCACTGTAATTTGATCTAGATTATGTGGTAGGAACATGTAGTTTCTTTTTTTTTGTTTGTTTTTTTAAATTTTATTGGGGAACATTGTATTTTTCCAGGACCCATCAGCTCCAAGTCAAGTAGTTGTTTCAATCTAGTTGTGGAGGGTGCATCTCAGTGGCCCATGTGGGGATTGAACTGGCAACCTTGGTGTTATGAGCACTGCACTCTAACCAACTGAGCTAACTGGTCACCCCAACATGTAATTTCTAAAAATCATAAACATGACTTTTCCAGGTTTTTCTAGTTGGTGGTTAGTTATTATTATTACTTAAGACTAACCTGTGTTATGATGAGCCTGCTGAGAAGAAGTCACAATGTGTTGGTTTTTGGAGGGACAGCTTTGATGCTAAGAAGTGGTATCCATACAGCTGGTGACTTTGGGTGGATCATGTAACCTCTTTGATATTAGTTTTCTATTCTGTATAATTGAAATGATTGATCACTAAGTTTTTTCCCTGCTATAATATTCTATGTCTACAGAACACCTTGACTTTCTTCATATTCTGCTTGCAGATGGTCATCTTTGATATGATACAGAAGACATGGCCACCACATACAAACATGTTCTTCTGAGCATTAAATTTTAAATAATTGTACTATGGCTTTGAGATAGTTTTTTTTTTTAAAGCAACAAACAGTGGTGAAGATTAAGTTGACCAACTTCATATCCTTTCTTTTTAGTAACATAGTCACCTAATTTTAAGTATAGCAGTTTTGCTAAATTCTGGAAAGTTTAGTATGTAGATGTTTAGAAATCACTTTAGTTTTCTAAAATTTGTGATTTTAAATACAATTCAGATAACTTTATATCCCATTTTGTCACTTAACATAAGTAGTCACTTTTAATGACTATTCCATTTAGCATATACAGCAATATTGCACTACTTCTGAATATTTGGGGCACTTCTGTATAATATCCATAAATGATGCTATGAGGAACATCTTTACAGTCATCACTTTTAAAATTTGGAGAAGTTTCTTATCATAGATGCTTAAAAGTAATATAAGTAAATCAGAACATAGGCCTGTTTGTAGTCACTTCACTCAGACAACCAAATCGCTTTCCAAAGCTTCATGTCCGTTTATACCATGATTAACAACCTAAAAGAGCACTGGCTCCACCATACTCTGGACAACATTGGGTATTATGTTTTAAATTGTTTGGTAATGTAGTCATTGAATCTTGTATAGCATTGTTTTAGTTTAAGCTTTAATTGGTTATTTCAAAGACAATTCCACTATCTCACAAGACAATGAAAGGCAGAAAGAGAATGAACTTTTGGGACATTGAATACTGGTTTGATTCTTTTTTTAAAGATTTTTATTGGGGAATTGGGGGGATGGGAACAGTGCTAGGGAACTGGGGGAAGGGGAACATACAAGTTGCTGTCATTTTTGTTCTTCAATCTAGTTGTGGAGGATGTTGCTTCACGCCCAAGTTGGCACCGTCATTGCGCTCTTCCCTGGTGAGGCAGATCAGTCGCCGGCTTCTGGACGGCCACTCACTGCGGCTGCTGGCCACTCACGCTGGCTGCCGACTACATACGGTAGCCCATGGCAACCCACTGCCACAGCGGCTGCAGCCTACGCCGTCGCCGGCGACTCATGGCAGCCCAGCTCCAGGTTGAACTGTTGTTCAGCTTCTTAGCTGTGGAGGGCAGTGTCACTGGCCCTCATATGTGGGATCCGAACCGGGGCCCTCTGGCATCCCAAGTGAGTTCTTAACCATCGTGCCACTCGGCCGGCCCCTGGTTTGATTCTTGATCTTGCCATATATTACTGTTGTCCTGACAATAGGCTAGTTACTAAGCCTCTCCAAGTCTCAAAATTTCTCATTTGGGAATATTTGGGACAAATCCCCAGTATAGGAATAATGTTGACCTCACAGAATTGTATAAA